GGCTATCAGTATTGTATTTCAATTATATAGGCAAAATTTTCACTTCTCTGATCCCTATTCAGTCCCTATCCTGAGCTCTATGTATGGGTAAAGGAGATAGTTGTCCTAAGCACCGATTCGTCCCTCAAAAGCCATTATATGAGCTATACAAGCTAATCGATGTAGAGATTCCTATCATTTCTTAATTCCATTTCTTTTTGTTCGTGGTTTTCGCTAGCAGCGTCGATACATTTGTTTCTTGTTCTTTGTATCTGATGCTGCTAAGTTCTCTCCTCCTCTCTAGAAGAACATTGATCTGCCAAACCTCATCAAAACTCGTCGTCTCCGGGTTAACTCATCCATGAAAACATGCGACCAGAGTTCGATTCTTTTTGATTGGCCCTCACCAGTTCGTTGTTAACTGTTTCTAGAAATGGGGTGAGAAGGAATCCAATCCAACAAGTTACAAACGATGGGTAGAGAATGCAAAACATTCTTCTAAGATTACCTTTTTTAGAAGGATTGGAGGGTGGATGTTCTGTACCTATAAGTGGCGCACTATTCCACACGCTCGTCCGAAGATGGAATTTTGGATAGATACTCGCTCAGACCAACTAAGTCTTCGGTTCCTCTAGTGTTCATTAAGACACATCTGGGAGGACAAAAAGCACTGACTTAAGCACTGGCGAGCTGAACTTAGTGACGAGATGAATAAAGTATCGTAAGACATTAACGATTGGGAGGAAATGATAGTGTGGGAGCGTATTGCTAGTCATATAGCAGTCATGCACAGGAACTGGATTTCCACAAATCTAGCAGTTGATGGGTATGAAATAAGGATTTTTACAATCAACGAGTAGCTACAAGGTGCTGTGTCGGTATTTTTCAATACGACATGCCCGTGGGCAGCGTCTGGATGACTTCACACGGGGAGGGATCGTTGGTAAACTGAAGAAGGTCGAACCATGACAAGTGTAGCTCACAGCGTTGTTTCACCGGCATAAAGGGCGTTAGGAACCTCTGGTATTCTGCCTCAACAGACATAAACATTCTGCAACACGACCCGCGAAGGTGATCATGAGTTCCTGCGGTAGAGCATTCCATTCCTCTATCAGCGCCTTCAACAATTACTGGCTGACCACTGGCGCATTTGGACGTGACGCAATGCGTCTACTCAGTGCGCCCACATGTGTTTAATGGGATTTAGGTTGGGAGGACGATTAGACCCCTACATTTAGAAGATATCTTCTTGTTTCATGACCTTCTTCCCCTGTGCTATTCGATCCGGTAGTGAGTTGTAATCCATAACAATGAAATCAGGGCACATTAAAGCCATGGAAAGGCGCACATTGGGAAGGGGTACCTCGTCTGGTGAAGCTGACTGGTGAGCATATCACGCTCAAAAAACTGGAGGTCAGTACGGCCATGCAACATAAAGATTCTCCATACCATAACGGCTAGACCCACCTCTACCCAAATGAGGATGTATCCAGATCACTGGTTAGACTGGATCTTCTGTCATCCGGAAGGAACACTCGGCTTTATTCCTCATCAATCCATTCGCTATGCTCCTGGGACCACCCCGAACGGTCTCGTGGATGCGCGAGGGGCAAGGGAACATAATGCAGCGATCATCGAGAAAAAAATCCACCGTCTTGCACTCGCTGTGCCACTTTAGTGTGCCCACTGACCCTGTCACATGCCTGCTGCACACTGTGGCGGTCACAACTTGATGTAGTCGTCCCTAGTCGACCAGAGTATATTGCAGAGTATTTATAGCTGTCTAGTAATTGTTGAGTGCCTGAGAGGAATGGAATGGTCCACCGCAAAAACTAATGATCACCTTCGTGGATAGTGTTGCGGAGTATTCATTGCTGTCCGTGGTGATCACCCGATGAGGAAGCGCATCACTTCTTTTAAAGTACCATGATAATTCGCGACTGTAGGTAATCGGTATCTTTGAGTAAAGAGGCCATATCTAGTCGTTCTATTCAAGAGTGCAATACCGTAAACGTCCTCTCTAGGACGGTACATATGATTTCATCGAGCCTTGTTATTTGGCAGAGGTACAGCAACCGGAAGCTACTTCCGTTTCCAACTTCTGCATACCNCAAAAACTAATGATCACCTTCGTGGATAGTGTTGCGGAGTATTCATTGCTGTCCGTGGTGATCACCCGATGAGGAAGCGCGTTACTTCTTTTAAAGTACCATGATAATTCGCGACTGTAGGTAATCGGCATCTTTGAGTAAAGAGGCCATATCTAGTCGTTCTATTCAAGAGTGCAATACCGTAAACGTCCTCTCTAGGACGGTACATATAAATTTCATCGAGCCTCGTTATCTGGCAGAGGTACAGCAACCGGAAGCTACTTCCGTTTCCAACTTCTGCATACCAATGTATATCATCTGGCCACCACAAGTCGTTGATTGGGCCACGTACGCACTTAAAACACCACTACTATTCTGACTGGAAGTGGAACTGGGACGCACCTCAAAAAAAGAGTTGACTAACGTCAAAATCCTAACCATTCATTTTATTGTAGAACTGTCCAGCCTAAACGAGCTGTCTAATAAGGGAAGAGTAACGCGCTGCTGCACTCTTTCCTTATAGGTTCCCTCACTTTTCGAGATCTTAACAAGGGAGATATGAAAGAGTTATAATTTATGAGGTCGGAGAGATCGTGGCCGAAGTTTCCTTCCCTTCCGAGAACGGCTCAAACTCAATTTTATGCATTTTTTGGAAAGACGTAGTTTTTACATGTCTCGCGGTACTCCTTCAGAAATGTTCCCGACGGTGTCAATCATTGTCGAACCACCACTTTTAAATTCACAACCTACCTGGCTCGAATGTCGAATCACCATCTACTCTGGCTATATAAAAAGTTTGATATTCATTCAATCTATACTCGGTCTCATCGCGAGTCCTCCTTTACGTTTATGCATTTTTATGAGTCGGAGAGAAAGAAATATATTTGGGCTATTTCAGGTCATCCCTAGGATAGACCACGCCTCCCTTTTATGTATAGAGCAGTAGAGATATTATATATTTCATCGGACAGTTTACGTTAATTCACTAATTGCATGAGTACGTGTATGGTATGTGTACAGAGTGAACACATAGAAAGGAAACTTGGGCACACTATCCCCGACCACTCAGAGGCTTTCTTTTCAAACTTTTTATTTTTGTTTGACCTGATTGACTGTAAACTGGTTCTCCAGCTACAAGATTCTGCTTTTCTCGTGACCGATGATGCCTTCGTTCTGCCATAATTCTGTCGCCGATTAGCGTCGTCAACTATTCCAAGATTCTACATAATTCGTTGTACGAATGAACCAAGAATAATTGTTTCAAAGACTGTCACAAAGGGATTCACGAAGCTGGCAAACGTTTTTGGGACGTGGTAGTAGTATTTTCGTAAATTTTGTAACTAATTTTAAGAAGTGGGCGATCATGCTGTACCTCACACTTTCAATCTGCAGAAAAATGCAGAGGAAATATCATTCACGAGATCGGTGAGTAGGTTTGTGAAAAATCGATCAAATAGGAAGGGAGACAAGAGAGAAAGGCGTCCCAGAAGGTCAAAACATTTCAGGTCTGGTGTAAGCAGAGCTTTTCAGATTATGTTGCTTCTGACGAGATCCTCCAGTTCGACCAACCTCATACTGATAGATTTTCCTGTGACTTCCTCCTTTGATCATCTTTGGGTGTAAGCCATGCACCAAGCCTCGCCATCTTCCGATTACATACATGAGGAGAGCCCTACAAAGAACTTATAACAAGTTGGTTTCCAAACACCCATTTCTCAGGAGTAGAACGATACAAACTGTCCTCCCTTGTAAGGTTTGAATTGAGCTTTTTGCAGCGTCGCGATGGCTGGCGGAAAGATGTGGTAACAGCTTATGAGGGGTGATGAGGTACATATCAGACGGGAGTCAATGTATCCGCTTACCGCTGATTTTATCATTGTTAAATGTATATATCGGCCTACTCAGCTCGATTTCGATTGCCCGAGGTTGAAAACGTGACTTGTTCGGGCGTAACCCAAGCCATTTTTTTCATAGAGAATTTGCTTTTGGCTCGCTTCGCTGCACTTCCTTCGAAACCTTGTTTTCTATATGAGTAAAGCTTGCTATGCATGACGTTGCTCTACAAATATCTTTATACTTCTTTGGAAAATGTCGCTTGTAGGTTTATGTATTGCTAGTTGAAGGTGCAGATTCGGAGAAGAAACCAAACCATGCACTCAGACTAGGCCTAGTACGACAGAATTTTCATGTCTGTCATTTTTCTTGAAGTATTTTGGTAGTTTATTTCGGTAAACTAATCCATCTCAATCTGTCGAGAGCCTTCTATATCCAGCAATCCTTCCAAAAAGTTTCCTGCGTAGAGTTCCACTGTTATATGGTCCCTATGCTTTTTTAATAGTGATGTTTTTACAAACTAATGTGGCTTTTCCCCTAGCTTTTCCCACCCTTACTTACCCTGATGTCTGCAATTGTTTTTACAGCTTTGAATGATTACGGCGAGAGGATGATCATGATTTGTTGCAGAAATTACTTTACATGTTCCAAACTCTTCCAATTTTGCCAGAATCCTCACACGTACTTACCCTCAATCGGAAACTTTTTTCTTTTTTTTTCTTTGAAGCCCATGAATTTTGTTGTAATTCATGGTTGAGTACGCAACGCAGAAAAGCGAATATGCCATTTCAAACTAAATGAGCCAAGCCTTTTGACTTGATGTTTTTGTTAACTGCTGTTATTTCGCCGCAGTACGCAATGCGAAAGTCTCACAAGGTTGACGATTTGTGGGCAAAGCTCCAGTATCGGACGGGACTCGAACCTGTACTTTTCCTCTCCGGGCACCGTGCAGTTTCAGTCGTCATAACAACACTACATTTCAATGTATTTGTTGATACTTATTGCATTTGCTCGTCTTCATTTCCCGCTACTACTCCTTTTTCTTATTATTTTAACAGTAGTGTATTTAGGAGTCTTCTATGTAACAATTGTCTCTAGTTGGTCATGGTTATCATAATTCTGTTGACGCTGACATACACGGAATGTTTAGAGAAATTCGGAAAACAAATTAGGTGAGTCGAGCTGAAATGGTCGGCGAAGTGGCTAATTCGAATCGAATATTCGATTCAAACTCGACAACCTTCGGTGTTTAGCTTGTCGACGTCCACCTATAGCTACAAGAGATGGTATGATGAGAATCGGCAACATAGCTCTGAGCTCAACAACGGACTTAACGAAGAATATCACGTTCACTTGCGAAGGAGCTTGGGTGGGCATCCAGGCTTTTCAGGCCAATTTCCTTAACCATACCACAGTATTATACGCCATTTTTGACCCTATATATGGACTTATAATGAAAATTTCATTAGAGAAGTGAAAATTCCAGTCGCCATGGGTGATATCCTAACGGTTACAACTCCTAGCCAGTGCATCCATCACTTTTGTCTGTGTATTATTGGTGTACTAGCCGGTATTATAGAAAATGGTAATGCGACGACTTTGAATCGGACATTTCTTGCTCAACTGGCGGAAGAACGTGTGAAGTTCTTCGAGAACCTGAATGCTGGCGCATTCATGAATGATCAACGTCGACTGGTGGACGATCTGCTAGACGAGAGTTACTATGAAAAACACGTCCATCCTCGGGTAGGAGAATTTCGGTTAAACACGAATTCGGAATTCTTGGAGGTGATGTATATATAGTGTTAGTGTTAAAAGAACCAGGACTAGTATTGAAAGAACCAAATTGTAATTTTTAATCAGCCTGAAAGCAATCTGAAGTGAATTCATGTGAACAGAGCATTGATCTTTCTCATCCCGAGGCACGGTTACCTCTATAACGTTTATTAGAGGTAACCGTGCCTTGAATGTTGCCCAGAATCTAGAAATCTCACGCATGACTTAATTCCTCCTCTTCTTCATTACACTTTTTTCCATTTTCCCTTTTTGCTTCACTTCAATAGCCCTGTCTGCTCTTCTTTTTGATTTATTAGTTATTTCTAGAAGGATCCACTGGACACCGATCGAAAATTGTTCTGTTTCTCTAAGCACGCATCCACTTGAGCAAGGGAAATGAAAAGAATAAACTCCTCGTAATGGCCAATCTCGCACTGAAATTCACCGACTCGATTTAAGGAGTCTCTGTGCACATCAGGCTCGGCGCTAATAAAAAGCAACAGTTGCAGTAAACGAAAGCAAGGGCGAGTTAGCAGAGTTGATAGCTTATGTATACTCGCCCAATCTCACTACATATAAATCGTCACCAATATCAGCCAGTCAATATCAATCGAAATTAAAGCAGCCTAATTCTGTCCCCCGCCTTTTTTATTCCCTATCAATTCAAAGGTTCAGAGTATTGAACAATGAGAGTTGTGATTCTAATGGCAGACACACGGACAAATTCACACAGAACGTGCTCGGACTCGGTTGTAGTGAAGTGATAAAAAGTAAGCAAAGGATTGCGGGAGCTAAACAGGATATGCTGTACCCTCCTAAAGTCATATGAAGTTAATGATCCGGAATTCGACCGAGAAATTGTAATTTTTAAGGTAAATCATCTGAAGCCAACTCAGATCAACGTCAGCATGAGTCTTTATCAAATCCTCGACGTGGTTGGTTATTTTTCTTCGAATTTTCATTGAAAGGCGAAATGATTTCCAAGAAATTTTCAAGTTAGCGGTCACTGATCAGATCCTTGGCGATGTGCACGTGCTCCCTTATACCATACCTGCCATTACAAGGTCGAAAATAGTCTTGGATAGTGCAAAATAAGGGGCCAAAGATTGTATCGTGTGATGCCACACCTACGGTGGGCGAGTTTTAACGGCATCGTAGAGGCTGCACCATCTCAAGAGGCTCCCACGTAGGAATTTCTATAATAACACCAACGTCATGACGACAGTGAAAGGCATTTTGAGTTTCGGCTTGATATAGTTATCTCTTTGCGCAGTGCGAACAAGTCGTCTCGTCCAAACACCCCTTACATGCCACTCCCGTTACGGTGATCTCGTACAACCTCCACTACCATTGCTTTTAAAAAACCTCAGAGTAGGCGGATTTTTTCGTTATCATCGCCACCGAGGTATATCTCTATATCAAGACTTCCGCTTCCAATCTAAAAAGGGTGCCTCGAAATTACCGTGAACGGTGCCTTTCGATCTTTGAAAGGTCGACTTAATTACCAGTATCATGAGAGTAGTTTCTTCTAAACTGCTCGAGCCTAAACGATAGCTCAGTCTGCAGTGTTTGCAACCTTTTCGACCTTATTTGTGCTGCAGTTTCATATTTCTGGTAGTTGATTTCCTTAAATTTCAGGACGAACACTCGCAAAGTATCGTAGTAAACGTCTGGATGGTGCAAGTGAGTTGGTTCACTCATTTTAGACCTCTGTCCCATCTTCAATCTTAGACCACTGTCCAGCACATTCGAAATGTTCAGCATCTGTGTTACATGAAATATGGCAAAAGCACCTGAAAACGCACCAATATAATGAATGGCGGAGCTATGGGAACCCCAATCATCCCTCATCCGAATAAATATGACGACCCATTATCGCCTAGTTGAATTCCACTGTATTTATAATAGTAATAGTGACTCGACAATTCAGAATTGGTATGATGAATTTCTTGACTGGGATCCCAGAGAGTACGGAATGCTGAACAAAACGATAGTACCCTATGATCAGATTTGGATTCCGGATACCTACTTATATAACAGGTACATTCTATTTTGTTTTCGAATATGTTTTCTCAAAATCGTACTGACGGCCATTTCCAGAGCAATATGTATTCGGCAAATTGTCTCCGTATCAGCTCATTTTAGTCGCCATTTACCTTTTTTTAGAATCCCTCTCTATGAAACTTCTGCAGCGCTTCCAATTATTATTCTTTCTGATTTTAATCTATCCTTTCTTTTTTGACTCGTTTCAGAATAGAAAGAGAAAAAAATGAGTAGGATCCTCAACTTTGATAAAGAGGGTGTTGCGCTAACACCTTGGAATGCACAGTTCACAATAAATATTGTTTCTGAGGTTCCTCAGGAAGAACCTTTTCTGAGGCTCCTCAAGACTAACCTGTGACTCCCAAGGATAGCAAAGGGACGCTGTTGGATCGAAAAACGGCTCAGATCGAGCGTAATAACAGGCTCCAAGATCGGCTTAGCCGACTTAAAGGCACCGTTAACGATAAATTTAGGGTACTCTTTTTTGACGGGAAATCATAGAACTACTCTAGAATAAAGCGATAACAACGGAAAAAGCGCAAAAAACGATGAACAAAAAGAAATAGAAAGGGTCAAAAAAGAGCTGGGAAGGGGGGTTGGACGAGTTCACATTGGAAAAACGGCGGTTAAGGGAGTGTTCGGGCGAGGCGAGGAAGGCGGCGCAATGTCTGCAATAGCAGACAACACACCCAAGCAGACAACTTCGCTNCAATGCGAAAGTGATGAACGGCAATTAGATTTCGTAGTCAGCCTAGCGAGGGGCGGAGGCCTCCCGTCGCCCACTGTTCCTGCCCTTATTGTGCCCTCTCCAGACCGTTTTCCGACCTCATTCCTGCACAAATGGTATCAGAGGGGGGTCGAATTCAAACCATGTGCAGATCTCCGAAACCATTTTTTCGTGAACAGTGCCTTTAAACACGCAGGACGGGCGAGTTCTCACGGCGTTATGGGGTTGTGAGGTTGCACACCGGGACCCATACGTACTGTAGCGAACTATTTGCACTGCACACACTTTGGAGTGCTCGTCCGAATACCTCTTTCTTGCAACTTTTATCGTCACAATCTCGTCCAAACCCTAACATTACTACATTCTTTTTTTGATGCCCTATATTACTCTAATCACACCGATTTCTGCTACTTCCTCACCAGTTTTGCGCTATTGTTGAATATCCTGTTCGTTCTTCATCTAAGATACGCTAAAATTATAATGAACTGTACCGTTAATATAAATACCACAGGTCTCAAAAACAACGAATGCGAAAGGTGCCGCACTCCAACCTGACGTACACTATACTAGCCTCCAAGCACGAAAGTACAGTCCACAATTGAAAACGTCTTCTGGATTGGACAAATCTTTGGCACCGAGGATATCACATAGTCTGTTCTCGGCTCGATGAATGATGAATGATGATTCGGCCTTAATGAGGGCTCAAGAAATGTCTCCATTTTATACCGCACCCAGAAGTGACAGGTTTCAAAGGCCTTGTAGCTCTGGCTCCATATTTCACAGTAGGGTTATATACATGTGTTTAGAATTCGAACAAATGCTCGTTTGGAATCCTGGCCCATTGCGATAGTGGAAAGCACTTTCTAGCATTTTTTGCTCATCGTAGCTTTACGTGGTTACCCATGATTGGACTTTCTTTTAAATACCGTTTCCGTCCCGAAAAATTTCATCGTAATAATCTCGTACAACCCCTGCTTTGACTATTTGAAAAAACTTACATTCAAATACAGAAGTTTCCACGCTTTCTTCGTCACCAGTGCATTATGCTGCTCCAGAACATTCCCCATATAATTTGAAAAGGTACCTTGAAAATACCTTGAATAAATAATAGAAAATGAAAAGGGTATACTGCGTTTCTGAACGCGGCCTAGCCCCTTCCTTATTCGGAACTCAAGTAATGGACGAATCTTCTTAGTATATGCATTAGTTCCCAAGCAATGCCGTTGAAATGACCGCTTTCACATTGACCGAGATAGGATTCAGTCAGGTGGTTAAAGGCTACATCTGCATACTATGATCGTGCGTCCAGCTCTATTCACTTCTCAATTGGTTTCGAAAGGGTACGAGTTCTGGGCCATAGGGAATTGAAAAGCATCCTATCAAATGAGTTAGCGTTAGCCATTTCCGCATTACTTGAGACAAGACAGACTTTTATGCTTCTGAGTGGTAAAGTGGCCGAACGCGTCAACGGCCACATTACCCTCGGAACGTGCCATGTTGCAGCGTTCGTCTTGAATCTCTATTGACAGCCGCATAGTTTCGGAGGATAACACTTTATACTGAGAACTTTTCATTCATTCAGCAGTATTTCAGTGAAGCGCTGGAACGAAAGAAAACTGAATCGATAATGAATGCGATAGTGGAGACGGGATTTTGGTCGAACAACAGCCTTGGGGCCAGAGTTCAGCTTATGTTTCCGGCTATTTATAAGTTGTCTTGCGCCATGAACGTGAGTTTCGTGGCTAGAATTCGGTATTTTGACTTTGTATTATGGCACTAATAACACTTGAAAAGTAGTCGAATTGTGGGCTAAGAGAGAGGGAGAGGGAAACTAAGTTTCACAAAGAATGAACCTTCCCGATATTCAACACTTCATGAATTTGACAGCTCAGATCTTTGTTCACTAAAATGACATCCCTAGCGTGAACGGATTGACGTGATTGGTTGCTTTTCGGATTCTAATAATGTAGAAGGATAAGCAGCTTTGCAATGATTATTCCCTTCAATTTCCTCGATTTGTACTTTCCATTTGTCCTCCTCCCGTAGGCTGGTCGAGATATTCCTGTGCCGGGGAGGTGGTATCCAATAGCGGCGGCAATTTATGTATTACAATAATACGAGGGTTGCCTTTTGTATCTCGGGATTGAGCAACCCTAGTGTTGCAATGTGGCAACTGACAGCTCTATCGTAAAGTTTGACTCTTTCGAGGTTATACTTACTGAGAACGTTTTGACATATGAGCGCTCCTTGTGTTGTTTACGTTAACTTAAAAATTTACTCAGGCCTTTGGCGCCACCC